GACGTTTGTGCTTGCTGCAAATCGCAGCCGACTTGCGGAAGGCCACCGAGCTCGTAGAATCGTCCGCCAAGACCAACTTGTATGTCGCCGACGTAATCGATGGGCTGTTCAACAGGAACTTCATCGGCGAGGATTTGGCTCTTGGCAGGCTCTTCGACACCATTATACGCAAAAAAGGGCCATCGACCTACTGCGTGCCTTCAAGAAACACGAGGAAACGACATCCTTGCAGCAAGGATGGCAGAGGCGCCCTGCGGAGTCGATTCTCGGCTTTACGAATGAGGCAAGATCAAGGACATCGTCGACGTATGCTACGAGACAACGGTGGAGAGCCAGCCATACCTGGCCACCAACAAGACGGGCCACGACGGCGAGTTCGAGTGTTTTGCGGGCGAAAAGGTCTATCTCTTGGGCTCGGCGCAAGATGGTGCAGTGAAGGCCGTCGAGGAACGGCTTTCCTACCGCCCACTTCGAGCTCACCACGCTCAAGGGCAAGAGGAGAAACGGATACGCCCATGACTCCTCACTTTGAAGATTCCGGCGGTGCTTGTCTTTATCGCAGGCGCCATCCAACACCTGGGCGATCACCTGGTCGCGTGGCGCCAAGTCCTCTTCGAGTTTGCTTGTGAACGTGATCTGTCGCAAGGTTGCCGAAATGCGATCTCGAGCCCACGCTCCCCTCCATTGTCCCCTCTGTGACACTCATCTCTTAATGCACACGCATTCTCGCACATCCAAGAACGATACATCAATACCCTGTTCATATGGAACTGGCTGGCAGAACGGGAGATGTTTGGCGTCTCCGCCGAGCAGTTCTTTGACGAGTTTAGTGAAGCCATCAAACTCTCTCGTTTGAGACGCCATCTCGCATCTGTGCTTAGACGGAAGAAGAGGGAACTTGAGATGATGAGTATCCAACATAGAGGGAGCACAAAAAGGATACGGCACGGTGGATTCCCGGGTGGTCGCCCACCCCAGTACTAACACCGCCTGGCGCAGCTTAACTTCGCTGTTCAGATGGGAAGCGGTGCTTTCTGCGCAGTATGGCCGTATCCGTCCACCTCATCTCTCTTCCGCCATCAGACCGCCACTTGATGTTTTTCCCCAGTGCCCATACCAGGTATTCTTGCAGAATCTCACATAGATGATAGATGGTATTCCCACAAAGAATCCCCA